GATTAAAGGAAGGTTGAGATTTACATACAATGATGAGTCTGGGGGTGGGGGTGGGATGGGGGAAAGGAATGGAAACGGAAAGCAAGCAGCAATACTGGATCTTGGCAATTTGCACTCAACTAAAGAAAAAGAAGAATTAATAAAGAATCTTTATGTATAATAAATCCCTTGGGAGCTCAATGATATTATTGATTTATTTAAAAGCAAATCTATATTGTAACCTAGTGACAGAAAAAAAAAGGCAGCTGCTTTTAGCCTTACTTTGTTGGTTAAGAAATTAGTCTCCATTTATTAAAGGAAAACTAGGAAAAGCTGAGGTTGCTGAGGCATTTCCTTCTTTCTCATTTAAAATTATCCCAAAGAGAGGAAGCTGGACTGTGTTATCACTACAGCTGCACCCATCGCAGTTGTTTCGTTGGATGTCCAATTACTTCAAGTGACCACAGGGATATACAGTGAAAACACTGCGATTTTTACAAGCTGCTGGAAGAGAGTGAAGACTGGAGGTGTTTATAACAGGTCTTTTCTTGTTCACACAGCAAATTGGTTTTGTTAGAGGAAATGCTTTAGTTTAAGAAGCCAATCTGAAAAAAATATTTTTACTCACACTGGCTAGAAGGATCCAGTAGCCAAGTAGATAATGAGTGGAGGCTGGGGAATGAAGATCTTTACAAGTCCTAGATAAAGGAAAATCTATAACACTGTATAGGAATGTATTTTGCAAGCCTTTAAATCTCAGAGGGGAATAAACAGGTAAATTCCTTCTAACCTGTTTCTGTTGCCAAAGAAACAGATAATGGAAACAAAAGCTTCCAGAATAGAGACAACTTAGATAGAACCCCAAAATAACTAAGTTAGGGAAATAACTTCCTGAGTTGATTTTTCATTAAAAGACTGGGCTGTGACAAAATAGAAAAAAAACTCCTTGAAAATCTGATTAAACTGTTATGAATTTTAGTATGTAAACAAGCTTAGGAAACATGAAGGATTTGAATTAACCAAAACTATGGTTTTTAGACTTCCAGGAATTCCAAAAACTATTAAAATTTTTTGATATTTAAATAAATGCTTATATAAGATACAAATGCTATCCAGATAATATGAAACTAATTTATATCTTATATCCTTGATCTTTTACTTTTATCTACTATGATACTGAAGAATAAAAATAATGTTAAGCAAGTGAAAAATAACTTACAAACATCTTAATTTGGATTTCAAATATTATATGACAAATACTTTCAAGGACCCCTGTATAGAATATATTCCATTATTTAAGTATTTATTTGCTAAATTTGAATCTTTTTTTAATAAAGTCTGCTTTGTAAATAAAGTCAATAAGTTTTCAGTTCATAAAATGTCCATGACAGCTTTTCTTACTACATTTATCTTAAATAGCTTTGCTTGCTGATTAGGCAAAGGACTATTTTCCAGGCTGGAAAATGTGCCTACAATAAATTAGCTTTTAAAAATCAAATTATATGATTCAAACATTATGATTGGCTATTTAGAATTAGAACATTAAATAATGTATTTTACCACTGAAAAAGTCCATGAGAGAAGTAATGAAATAAAATCATATATTGCACTGCTGTAGGCCCTAGATTTTCATCTTAAGTACTCTTAATCTTAACCCAGAGATCAATACCATGTTTCTGTCCTATAGGCAGGATATGGGAGCTGCGATGAGACATCATCCTTCAAAACATGGAAATAATATTGCCCTTTCATTGTTCAGCTATGAAATCACCCCAGAGTGTGGGATATCCTTATTGACCTTAGAAAGCAGTTTACTTATAGAAAAGCATTTTTTAACCTATATTTTTACTTATAAAAAAAAAGCAGTTTACTTATCAGGCAAAGCCAGGAAGTACTAACACACTTAAAGGTGAAGCTTACACATATCTAAAGAAAAAAAAAATTAAAACTCATACCCAGAAGATAGGCTAGATGGCAAAAAGAAGAGGATGTAATAGAAGAGGGAGTCTGGGCTCATGGACTTCCCCTTAGGGAGCTCTGGGGCAGATTTTCTAAAACCTGAAGGAGGAGTTTTCAAGCAAAGGAGGCTGGAGAATAAGGGACACCAGGCAGCAGGAAGAGGCTTGGAGCAGAGAGGGAGCAAGTAGGGCAAGTTTGGGGAAACAGCATTTGCGTTAGTCTGAAATGCCAAGTACAAGAAAGGGAGTGGGGAGAACTGAGGCAGGAGAGGAAAGCAGAGCCAGATCCTCAGCCTCACCAAGTTCAGATTTGATCCTAAAGAGCTTCAGCCCAGAGAGGCTGAAAGTAAGTGTTACGTAAGTATTAACTATCATTACATTATTTATAGTTTTGCATTCTTTCTCACTTGACATTATATTCCGAACACTCTCTATGTAATTAAAAATTTCTTAGAAACCACCTTTTAAAATTATATGGCTGCATATCTCATACGTGACAATTTATTTAGCAATTCTATTATTGGAACTTTAAGGTGCTTACATTTTTTGGTATTTAAAATAACCAATGAACATCTTTGTCTATGAATTTACAATCTCATCTTTGATGGTTTTCTTGAGAATTTCATGTTGAAATGGAATTACAGGGTAGAAACATTTCAGACTTAAAAATGTACCACTTTATACTCCCATCATGCTACAACATTGACCAAGAAAAATTACTTTGTATCTGTACCCGAGATATGAAAAATAGTATCTTACCTTTTGAATTTACATTTCTTTCTGACTAGCGAGGTTGAAGATTTTTCATGTTTATTTGTTAGCCATTGTATATCTTTCTGTCCATTTCTTTACCCACTAAGAGGTGTTAATGTCTTACATATTGATATGTAAGAGACCTTTACATATTAAGCATAAGTCATTTGTTCTAAACATGTTTTTCCTTGGTTGGATTTCAAGTTTGTTTTCTGCCACCCACAATTTTAAAGTTTTTATTATGTCAAACTTTCAGTCTTACCCTTTAATTCATTAATGTATTCAACAAATATTTATTGAACACCAGCTGTATACAAGGCATTTTTCTAGACATATCATTAATGAACAAAATAGTCAAAAATCCCTTGGCATGTGGTACTTCAATTTTAGTGAGGGGAGATAAAAAATAAGTGATAAGTATGATAAATAGGTAAATTATATTAGAAAATAAGTGTTATAGGGAAAAGTAGAGCACAGAAGGGATTAGAGATGGAAAGCTGCAATTTTAAATAGTATTTAGGGTAGGTCTCATTGAACAGGAAATTTTTGAGCAAGGACTTGGAAACTGGAGAGCTACTGTGTAGATTATCTGGAGAAGACCATACTAGACAAGTGAATAGCCTTTGCAAAGGTCCTACGGGATGGAATATGCCTAAAATGTTTGATCAAAGAGGTTAGAATGAACCAAGCAGTGAAGCAAAAGATGAAGTCAGGGAGATTTATGGTGTGTATATGAAATCTTGAAGGCTATTTTAAAGACTTGGGGGCTAAATGGAGGGTACTGAGCACAGGATGTGATTTGATTTTTTTTTTTTTTGCTTATTTTTTAAGGGATCACTCTTGGTGAGAAGTGGTCTGATTCTGAATGTACATATGAAAGAAGGTTTCACTCTGTCACTCATGCTGAAGTACAGTAGCATGATCATAGGTCACTGTTAACCTTGAATTCCTGGGCTCAGGGAATCCTCCGGGCTGAGCCTCCCAACTAGCTGGGACTGTAGGTGTTGCCACCATACCCAGCTATATATTTTCAAAGTATAGCTAACAGGATTTCTCATGGATTTGATGTAGGGTGTGAGAGACAAGAGAAGAATCAAGATGACTGAAGTTTTTGGCTTGAGCAACAGGACACATGGAGTTGCCAGCAACTGAGAAGAGGAAGACTCCAAATGGAGTAGGTTCTCCCTCCAACCTGGAAATAACTCAAGTTTTCAGTTTTGGATTCAGTTGGAGATATCTACTAAATATCCAAGTGAAGATGTCAACTAGAAAGTTGAGTTTGGAGTTTGGAAGGGGTCTGGGCTAGAGATATATGAGCCAGGAATCATCAGCATAGAGATGGTATAAAAACTGTGGTACTAATGAGACTAACCTAATTATGGAGTGAGACAGTGACAGGAACTGAGGGCTGAGTCCTGAGGCACACTCCTAAGTCTAAGAGCTCTAGGAGAAGAAAAGGAACCCACAACAGAGATGGGGAAGGAATTAATAGCAAGGTAGGAGGGAGTCCAAGAAGGGTGGGATCCTGGAAGCCAAGGAAAGAACTGGGTCAGATACTGCTGAGAGATCAAAGATGAATATTGAACAACATGGAGATCAGTGAGATGGACTGTGGATTTAGCAACATGGAAGTCATTAGTGATTTTTTATGCTGATTTTTACATATTTTTATGTTACTTAAAATATATACAAAATTCTATGTATTAGTAAAATATACATTATTTCCACAATTATTCAACTTTTCGAGCACCATCCATTGAATGATCATCCATTTTGTTAGCCTAACTTCTGATGAGCAAAGTTCCCTATTTCTCTACCCTTGTTCATTTTAGACTCTCATTTTTATTATATTTAGTGGATAAATGGAATTATGGCATAAATGTGTTTTTAAAAATCACATCTAAATTGGTTATAATGGCAAAGCCTTAAGACTGTTGCAAATTATTATGATTGGCTTTAATGTAGTTTATTCACTTTATGCATAGGATAGGGACAGTCACACTTTTATTAAGTGACCCATAAATTGTTATTTTCTTATCAAATGTGTAGTTTCCTCATGGAAGTATGAAGAAAGGTAGGTAAGCATGGAAATGAATTTTTGACTTCTGTTACTGAATATTTCTTTTATTTGACTTGCAGGAGGAAATGTTCAAAAACAACTTTGAAATGACTCAATTTTTATCCATATAGTATTTTCAGGACATATTTTCAATATTGTTACAAAAATTATTTTATAAGCATACATTTTAAAAAGTTGATTTTATGTTATAATTTCAAATAATTATTTCATTTTGTTTTGTGTATTTGCAGACAAGTCAAATAGAAAAACCAAAGTCCTCGACTCAAATGCAGCATCAAATTCGACAAACGAGACATCTTATGAAGCTGATGTAATTCAAGAAAAAACAATGGATACAGCACAAATCAACATTGCTTATCAACTAAATTCTGTGTTTTAAAGTATCACTGGAGAGATGGAGCATAAAAATAAAGAATGCATTTGAAACATAGTTGTAATACTCCTTTTCAAAAACACAAAGCAAGACACAACTGCATTTTTGATTATCTATTTATTAAACATCCATTTAGGTTTTTGATAGGTTTTCATGTGCATAAGTTTAATTTTATTTGCTAATTAAGATGCTTCTATATTACATGAAAGTATGCTAATTCAAGAGAAATTAAAGAATTTATCAACACAGATAAGCAATCCTATCTCAGTGAGGAACAATGAGAGGTTTATGTCACATTACCAGCATTTCACAAGTTTTGATGCTTTACATACAATTATTTTTACAAAAAATGATACTGGATAGGTAAATCTCAGGGGGAGTTTTCTTATGAACTAGAAGGGGCATATTCTTAAGTCTTAATCAAACCATGCCTTTTTGGAAGATTTTTCTGGACAAACAATATATTGCCTTTATAGAAGCTAATGTTCAATAACAAAAAATGTCACAATGTATAATCTGTACAATAAATATTTTCTATATTTCTAGGGATAACCATAACAAAAATCCTTCACTGAAATTTCCTAAATAATCTATAGTGAAAGTTATAAAATGAATGAGTTCTCTGGTCCCACTTAATGCTTTCACATTAATACCAGTCATTAGAAATAAAACTAATTTCTGCAAATTATAATTGTTTTAAAAGGTTTTGAATCATAAGTGTGATTTTTATTATAAGAACACAGACCTGGTTTTGTAAAGGAACTAAACAGGAAAAAAGGAATAATTTTAAGCCATATCTGCTGAACACATCTACGTTGTAAAGATTTTGTAGTCAGAAGACTAGGATTTTAAAACTTTGAATATAGCATTCTGGTCTGAAGTATATATAAAAAAGAATGCCCTATTGTTGGGCATGCAAAGCTCAGGGTTATAAACTTCTCATTAGGCTGTCAAAATTTTTACTAAGAACTGTGGTTATCTTCTAGACTAGCACTGTCCAAAAGAAGTTTCTGTGTTGGTGGAAATGTTCTTACTAGATCTTCACTGTCTGACACATGTGGCTACTGGGCATTTGAAATGTGGCTAACGCAACTGAAAAAACGAATTTTTTTCATTTATTTAATTTAAATAATAAGTGGCTATATTGACAGCGTAGTTCCAAATCATTACTGCAACATCCTACTGCCCGAGTTGGATTTCACATTCAAAGAGAGCACAAGTTTGCCAAGGTTTAAATATTAAAGTTGCTTAAAGTATATGTGAAGTTTGAAAATGAAGACATAGTTCATAAAGGTTTTTTGGGTACTACTTGATCTTTGTTTTATACAACTTTGATTTTTTAAAAATCTCAGAAAATTTGCTATCTTGATACATAGGAATTTACATACATAGGAATTTAATAATAATATTCCTATATGGCCTTGGGTGAAAATCTAGGTTGAGAAAGTTTAGCTAAGGCACTAGTACAATTCTACTTTTGTTGCTCAAGGGCAAGGGCCATAAATGGCACAAGCAAGAAACTTGACTTAGGGCTAGCAAAAAGCATTTCCCCCACCCTACCCCTGCGAAGACTCCTCCCAACCTGTAGGAGAGGCATACTGGGGCCAGGCATGGCTAGATGCTTCATCATCATGGATTACTCCAATTCTCTGCTACTCTGAATATTCTTGGAGGAGTCGAGGAGATAATTGAGGTCAGAAGATCCTGGCCTTTGCATCAGGATTATTGTCACACTGGCATAAGAAACCATCTGTTCTTTCATGCCAACTGCCCTGGAAGTTTGAATAGCAGCACTAGGATCAGCTGGAGGCCTTGAGCCACTCCCTGCTGAGCTAGTGTATATATCACCAGCTTACCTGAGTAAGAGGACAGGGCTCATGAACAGACCAACTGGTATGTCTCTCTATAACTTGGAAGTAGTTGTACTTCACAGATTAAAACAAATATTAAAAGAAGCTTTATCAAAGTAACAGCACTGTCTGTACACTGAAAAATATATTTTAAATGATTTGGATCTAACAAATACTAAAATAGTGATAGAATTTAAGCCAATTTAAAATAATCTAAAAAACAAAACATTTCAAAGTATTTACATGTACGTATAATTCTGGAGATGGGTCTGAAAATACTGTAGATCTATGTAATTTTGGTAATAACTGGATCTTAGAAAAGTGAGTCTAGAAGAAAAATACAAATAGAGCGTAAAAGAATCACAATGCTTTCTATATGGTCTTCTAATGAAAACAATTTCATCTTTTAAAAATTGTGGGATTAATCAGATTATGAAATGGATGAAACCAAATCCGAATAGAAGTCATTTCTTTCCTTAAAACTCTTTCAAGGTGTCTCACTGCTTACAGATAAAAGTCCAAGCTCCCAAACATAGAACACAAGACTTCCTTCTCTTGTTCCTAAAGACCTAAATGGTAGCCTCAATTCTTACCACCTCCTGCCTTGCCTGTATGACATACTAGCAACACTAGATTCCTTGTAATTCTTGACACACACAACACGGCTTTTTCTATATGTGGTCTTTGTTCACAGTACCAAACTTCATCAGGAACTGCCATAACCACACCCTCATCCTCAATCAAAAGTCAATGCAGGCATTATTTTCTCTAGGTAGTCTCTTCTAATTTCTCTAGATTATGTTAGGTACCCCCGTGTTTCTATAAACCCACTTCAGGTCACTTATTGCACTTATTACATAATGTGTGCTCTACTGTTTCTCCTACCCACTAAACTGTGAACTCTTTCAGAGAAGCAAACATGTCTTATTTAACTCCGTATCCTCACGACACAGCACAGTGTTTGCCATGCTAGGTGCTCGATAAACATATGCTGAAGAAAGGACTCAAAGGCATTTTTATCAACATTATTAACTCTGCAGCCTCATTTACTACTGAAGGTGACCTAGAGTTATATAGTTTTAGATGAGTAGTAAATACAGACAAGTATAGTTGTTTAACTTCATTTATTGATGTTTTGGCCTCAGAGAACCAAAGATGTTAAGTGGAGATGTATTAAGTATGAAGAGCTAGGGATACCTCTGAATAATATTAGCCAACAGATAATATGGAGAAAAGAAATGGGGAAATAGCATGAGGAATAGGTCCAGCAGCCTGAATACATCGTCTGAAAGTACTCAGGTAATCTAGTTACAGATACAAATCTAAATATAAATTGTTTCGTCTGGTGAAAATTATATACATTGAGTGGTAAGAATATGAACCAAATATCGATTATCCGCTTAAAGAAGTTGAATGTGTTTAACAGCTGTATTAATATACTGAATCTATTCTATTACAGAATGTTAGCTGCTTATCTATAATTTCTAAAATGAATGGTTGAATGTTACTAAAATATTGATAATCATACATACTAAAGACTAAAAGTGATCTCAGAGATAATCTTGTACAATATTTTATAGATGAAAGACACCAAGGCCCAGGGAATCTAAATGCCTTTGTGGAAGGTCATATAAGTAGTTAGAATGACCAGGACTTTTGGATTTTTACAATTTAGTTTTCTTTCTGCTGCATACTGCCTGAGTAAGAATTTCATTAATTTTCACCTAAAATTATTAGTCAGATTTGCATCCAATCTCAATAACAAGATCATTTCAGAATAAAATTACTTCAGTAAAAATAATTTTTATTCAGATGATATATTTCATAAACTATGCTAATATCTGGAAAATTTACTTAAGAATAATTCCAAGATTAATTTTTGAGGAAAAAATTACTAAGCACTAAAATCCTTTAATTCATGTACAATATTAGTTCATAAGGGCTGACTTTTACTCTTCTGAATTATTATTGTGTCACCATTCAGAAAACAAACTTAATGAACCAATTTATAATCTCTCCAATAACAGTAGTAAAACTTATCAATAACTCAATTAACTTTTTCTCTACAGTTACTATGTTTTTAACCATGTTACACCCCAAGGGATGAGGCCATCCCTTTGTATGTAGCATCTTCTAATCATTTTTAAAAATTTTACTTTAGTGTTTTTTTTTTAAGGCTAGTCAAGTGAAGCAGTGGGAGGGAAGAGCCACCACTGTATCCAGGACAGCCTCATTTAAAAAAAAAAAACAACACATTTTTTTTTACTTTTTTTCAAATCTTGATAACCAAGGAACTGAATTTTCATAAAATTAGCAGTAAAGGCAAAACAACCCTTAAAAACTTAATGGCTCTGTGTTGCTCTCCCCAACACCTGACTGAACTATTTAAACAAAAGAACTTATTTTTGAGTGGGCCAAAAAACTAAATTAGGCTACAAAATAGTTGAGTGTGAGAGCTTCCATATCTGCAATGCTAGAAAGCGGATGTGGGTGCAGCTTTCCTAGAATTTAAGCATGGGTGTTATAAGGCTCCCCAAGTCTTACTGACTACATGCCAGATAGGGTGCTAGGTGAAAGAAGAATCAGCAAACCTTTCTAGTCTGTGAGGTTAAGAGTACTTACCTGATTTCACCATCGAGAATTCACCTGCAGCCATATCTGTAGGTTACCCATTTCCAAATTCAGAAATGCACCACAGTGAGGTATTTGCAATCTTTGGTGCTATGCCATGATAATTGGTTAACTTTTGATGCTTCTACAACATAATAAGTATTTACCTTATTGGGCATAAGAGATACCTAAGTATTAAGCAAAGTAAGTAACACTGATCAAAGTGAAAATAAAAATATAAGAAACATTTATATGTACTAGTAGGTGTTTGAAATGCTTACTCATACAAAATGTTTATATAAAGGCTTTCATGATGCAATTCTCTGGCTCTTAAATTTTAAAAAGTTCAGAATAAAATTCTTAATTCTAAATTTTTGTTAGTTCTCCTGAGGTTTGTGACTGAAGTTAAAGAAACACCCCAAACTGGTTATTTATGAAACCATAAGTTCAGTGTGAAACTTGTTTCAAAACTATAAATTATTTCGGACTAAAAATTATGTGCTCACATTTATTAAAATTGTCCACATTACTCATAGGAACAAGCTTCATAAAATTTACATACTGACTGAATACAATAACAATCAGTTCTAATGAAGATGTAGCTGTCTTCCTAAATAAAAATTTCTGTGTTTGAGGTATCACTTTAAGACATGCCAATATGGCACAACCCAGGAGTCTATTCTATGCTAAAAATCCTGACCAATACAGCATCATCTCTGTAAGACTTACTAGTAGGCTGAACTATACTAGTCTCTCTAAATAAGAAATATTTGAATTGTTACAAAAACAAAGGGGGCAGATACAAGAAACTCTACATTTCAGAAAACAGTGAAACTTTGTTATAAATATTTTCATTATCATCTTCTTGCAGCCACCATTCACTGAAAAAGTCCTAGTCAAGACCAATAAAGCAGCTTCATCTTTTGATATTAAAAAAAGGCCTAGCAGTTTAAAAACAATAGTAAAGAATTTCACTATCTTTGAACATTACATTTTAGTATATAAAGCTATTAAATTTTTCAGTGTCAAGAGCAAAGCATTACCCCCTACCTACCCTCATCACTGGAAGGTGGACACCTGATTTAACAATACTTACTAACAGCTATGTAGATGACTTGTATTTACTGCAGTAATGCCATTTTACTATCAATTTAGGAAGTCATAACACTAGCCAAATACACAGAGACGAATGCCAAAAATGATATGTTTTGTATGTACACACACCTTGGGGCATGACTATCAAGTAATAAGACTGATTTAATACATTATAGTCATAGCACATTAAAAATATATTGCCAAAGGGATAATAGTCCCACATATGAAAAAATGTCTATATGGAAAAGGCTGTGATTTATTTTGCAAAGCAGAATATATAGCAAATTCCAAGGAAGGGCACATCATTTTTAAAAACAAATTTTTAAATTTAATGGCTTAGGCCAAAGTCTCAGTTACTTTTTGGAGAATTCCAAACTATTAGGGGTAGAAGAATGCTTTTCCTTTTTCCTCTTCTTTTTTTCCTTTTTGTGATGTTTTCCCTTTCTTGATTTACTCTTTTTTTCTTTTTTCTTTTCTTTCTTCGGATATTTTTGTTTCTTTTGTTTTGAAGTATCTTCTTCATTGGAACTGGATGAATAAGACCTATGGGCAATAATATATACTGACTGATAATTGCATTTATGACTGATAGGTAAATTTAAATGGGATTTGAAGTGCCTTAAATTCTTCTTTGAGTAAGGTGGGGGTATAAATATAAACTCAAAATATGCTTCATATATTTGTATTCCCTTAAAATACTGAATTCAGAATTTTTGCTGCTTCGTCACAGATCTATTATCTTTATTCTGCTCAACTTTAATAATGAGTTTTAAATTCAGTAAGGATGAAATTATTTTTCCGCGATTTTCAGTTTTTCATGTGGTCATACCCTTCAAAATCTTGCAAGGCAAACAAAGTGGCATTCACCAACCCTTATTATATACACAATTCAGTTGTGTATATAACTCGTTAGCATATTCTCTTAAGAGCCTTAAAAGGATGCAATTATATATTTATAAAAGGGCTATAATTATACCTTGGTAGAAATGAATGAAAGCTGAAAATTAGCAAAATAAAAGCACTTTTGTTAATTCTTTTGATTTTTCAAGTTAAAGTACTTGATCCCTTTAGCGGCAGAGTGATACAGATGAATACTTGCATTACAGAATACTTTTCATTAGTCACAAAAAGGATGCTTTTAAATGAATACTCCATATAAATGAATGAGGATGATTTATCATTGTAATTTTTAAAAATACTACTTTAATGCTAAATTGGAAAAAACCCTGAAGAATCCCTTCCTCTAATAGTTAAAAAAGAAGAAATAATTTAAAAACACACACACACACACACACAAACCCCATATAGAGGTGTATAACATTCTACCTATATCAAAATCCAAAATAAGTATTACGAGACAGAAACTGAGTTGATTTGAAATTTAAAAAAAGGCATCTGAATAGTTCACTAATCTAAATATTAGGAGTTAAAACCCAAGCTATGAAAACCCAAGACTAACATAAAGGAGGTACATGAGACTACAGGGCTTCAAGGCTAGCTGTTTTGTGTTTACATATTGACTTGTGTGAATTTCTTGATTGCCTTCCTTATTTAGTGATTGAGTTTTCCCTTAATTATGTAATATTACATTCCTTTCTCGTCCTTGTCTGTCTACTTACTTAAACTTTTGATCATCTACTAAGCTTATTTTCTCATATATTCTCTTGCTTTCTCTTCAGCTGTTATTCTCAAATCTTGTCTGCTTTGCTGTTGTAAAGATCCTGCTTGACTTGACCTCTGGATTCTGATTGGAGCTTCATCTTTGCCCGCACCTTTTTTTTTGGCGTTTTGGTTCTAGATTCTTACTTTTAAGGCAAAATTTTAGCCTTTGGCATAGTAACAATATTAGTTGGCACACTCTGTGCTAAGTGTGCATAGAAAAGTTAATTTAATTCCAGGTTCTAAGGTCTGTGAGGCTCAAGGTAAAGAGGGCTGAATAAATAATCTGTACTATAAAACAAATATACAGATGTTTCTTGACTTACGATGGTGTTATGCCCCAATAAATCCATTGTAAGTTGAAAATATCCTAGGTTGAAAATGCATTTGATATACTTACTGAACATCATAGCTTAGCCTAGCCCATCTTAAACATGCTCAGAACATTAGCCCACAGTTGGGCAAAATCATCTAACACAAAGCATATTCTATATTAAATACTTATCTCATGTAATTTATTGAATACTGTACTTAAAGTTGAAAATACAATGGTTGTATGGGTACTTGAAGTATGACTTCTACTGAATGTGTATCACTTTTGCACTATTGTAAAAGTCAAACCATTGTAAATTCCGGACCATCTGTATTAGAATTTGGAAGATAATATAATTTCATGTTTCCTATAAACAATCCACCTTGCTGTGTTAGCACAAATAATTTAACAATATACTAATCAGAAATTCTGAGTTCTACATTCCTATTAGTTTTTATATTTAAAGATTATTAAACTCCCAACACTTGAAAGTGAGCTAACTTTTCCAATTTGTAAGATATCTTTTTTTTTTTTTTTGGACAGAGTCCCGCTCGTGCCCAGGCTAGAGTGAGTGCCATGGCGTCAGTAAGATCACAGCAACCTCAAGCACCTGGACTCAAGCATCCTACTCTCCCTCAGCCTCCTGAGTAGCTGGGACTACAGGCACGTGCCACCATGCCCGGCTAATTTTTTCTACATGTATTAGTTGGCCAATTAATTTGTTTCTATTTATAGTAGAGACAGGTCTGCTCTTGCTCAGGCTGTTTCGGAACTCCTGACCTCGAGCAATCCTTCCGCCTTGGCCTTCCAGTGTGCTAGGATCACAGGTGTGAGCCACCGCGCCTGGCCCAAGATATCTGAAGTGTTAAAATGTATTAATATTTTATAAAGACTACAAAGAGACAAATCCATTTATAAACTACTCTGTGAGGAGAACTAGTCCAAACCAGATATAATTATGGTCAAGTGCCTTAAAAAATGGCTATATTGCATATTCATTCTAATATAAATGAAATTGTACTCATTTAATCGAGAAGAAGTAGCCTCTTACTACTTTTGATTATTTCTTCTACAGTTAGCTGTTAAAAGAGTGTTAATAGTAAAATTCACAGGTGGCTGATGAGGCTTCTGAAAGACTGAAGGAGTTTTTAGCATGAAAGTTCTATTAAATTCTATTACTAAATTAATTTCTTGAGCCGATCGGAATGATATTATTATGAGAATGAAAATGGTTGTAGGGCTCAGCGCTTTGTATACTCGGCGGACAGGACTACGAGCTGTGAGAGTATTAGATTTTATCCGATTAAAGCTTAGCTATTGTTGCTAAAACTAAAAAATCTAGAATTAAAAACAATACATTAAAAAGGGGGGCTGTTATTTTCTTATACCTTTGATTTCTCCAAAAGGAAATTTAGGTGGATACAAGATTACTTGTGTTTGATCCCACATGAAGGTCTTTGTCTCAATTTACTGAAACAGCTGTACATCTAGATTCCCAGTTAAGAAAAATATCTAAATAACAGCATCACACATGAAAAAGATTTGTAATACTTCTTGACTCATAGTCCTTCTATTATTTTTTAAAAATGTTGTTAAAAATACCTTTTCCTTTTTTTTTTTCAATTTTATTTTCTCTTTGCTTTTTTCTTTGTGTTGGGGGGCTGCGCGCTCTTGCTGTCAGCGGGTGGTTCTGTGGGGCAAGGGTAAAAGGGAATCAGCGGCGCCGCGGGGGCGCGGCGCGTCACGCGGCATTGGGTACGTATTATGACTGATATGGTATCGTGACCATTTTGAAATTTTAGTGGGTTAGTGTGGCGTGCCAGGGGGGTGCCTGGTTAGGGATTCAGTGGTCTCTTTAACAGTGCCGCGCGCGCGCCGCCTCCTCCGCAGCAGGTATTCTTTGATTTATTAAAAGGGTTATGGCTGCGAGCTGCGCGCGGGGGCTCCACGCCAGTTAATCCTAGCATACTGGAGGCAAGGGGAGATCGCTCAACGTCGCGAGTTCGAAACCAGCCTGACGCAAGAGAGACCATTCTCTAAAGAATCAGAAACAAATTATGGCCAACGTAAACATACATAGAAAATGAGCGGGATGCGTGGTGCATGCCTGTACTCTAGTACTCGGGAGGCTGAGGCAGTAGGATTGCTTGAGCCCAGGAGTTTGAGGTTGCTGTGAGCTAGGCTGATGCCACAGCACTCTAGCCTGGGCAACAAAGCAAGACTCTGTCTAAAAAAATAAAAAATAAAAAGTAAAAGGCTTATGAAAGTCTTACATGGTTTTTACAAAAATTTCAAATAATACTAACTACATCAAGTAAAAAAATGCAAGTGCCCCACTTCTAATTCCTATAGCAAATCAATGTCAACAGTTTCATGAGTACTGTCCAGGCTTTAAAAAGCAAAACACCAAAACAGTGGTGCATAGTTTTTACATTTTCTTTTGCAACAAAATTAGGATCATGCAATACATACTATTCTCTAACTTGTTTTTTAAGACATAATTTGGTGTGTATTCTTCTAGGCTTTCTCTATATCATATCAAATACACACACATTTACTCACATATATAATGTTGCTTAACAATTTCAAGTTTTTCACCTTTGAAAAATGTAACACATATGTTTTGCAACTTATTTCTTGCCCTTAACACAGCAGATATTTCCCTTTGTCATTAAACATAGATCAGTATCATTATTAAACACAGAATAATGTTCCCATGAACTATATTTATCCATTTCTATTTTCATTCTTAGAAACAATAAATAATATTTTTTATACATATATCTTTGCACATATGAGAAGTATTTCTGGGTGACAGAACTTATCTACATATATTTAAAGTAAAATTATTCTACTTAATTTTTTTATTTGAATTTAATAGAAGAAAATAAAATTGAAATACCATTTAAAAAATAGCTCTTCCACAGAAAGACTGCTTCTTAAAAGAGCTTTCTAAAGTTAAGAAAAAAGATTATAAAAAACAAAGAGGTTGGAGCTATTTTTTAATATGTTTCAAATCCAGATGGTATCAAGTGATTCCCTGCTTTATATAAAAGATGGAAAAATTACCCTTTGTACTTTTCGTTTAACACTAAACTTCCCAATTTTTAGATTTAATTATTTTCACATTGTCAAGGTTTTAAACATTTATGTAAAATCCATATGTATATGTATATACCTAATCTATATATTTTCTAATTATAAAAGCAATGTACATTCAATGTAGAGATTTTGTGAGTTTCAGAAAAAAAGTATAAATAAGAGAATTAAAATCTTGTTATCAGGAGTTCCTTTTAGTAGCCAGGAAGCCCTGAGGTCATCGGGCAAGGTAGAGAATACAGAGGTCAGTTGTCTCATAGACTCTTCGGAGATTTTATTGACCATACTTTCCATTTAACAAATATTTACCAAATGCCATGTGCCAGGTACTGTGCAGGTACTGAGTCTGTGCTGTACATGGTCCTTGCTCTCACAGAGCTTATAGCTAAACAGTGACAAAGAAAATAGGCAAACAAAGCTAGTAGTCTACATGAAGAGCAAGGATGATGCATGTCAGAAAGATGAAATAGGT